TTTATTTAATTTAATTTAGCCGGATTTGAAGAGAAGAATGGCAACCTGGCCCATGTAGAAGTAAATGAAGTGTTTGGTCTCATGTGTGACATAGCTAAGTGGATAAAAAGAAACAAATATTATTAAAAAAACTTTGTAAGATAAATAAAAATAACCTTTATAAACTGTGATCAGCTTACCTGCCAAAGTTTCGGCCAACAATACAGTGCCAAGTTGGGCTGTATCTTTGGTCAAATTCCTTCTTGATATGCGCAGCAATATCTTTTTCAATGTTGAATTTATCCATCCCCTGGTTAGCGATGTCTACGGCTGCCTGTTGCATATCCTCTGACATATCCGCATTCTTGATGACAGCTTTCTGATCTCTGTAACCCGACATGATTCTGTAACGGTACTTCGATTTGACGCAGGCAAGATGAGCTGCTGTCTCGTTTATATACACCAGCGTTGTTGCAATTGATACGTCAAATATCAGTAAAATGCCCTCACATGCTAGGGTGCCAATGCTCAAGCATGTGAGGGCATGAAGAACGATGACGCACAGTTTAATTCGTTAAACATTCAGCTAACGTACTCTGCTTAGGTATTATCTCATTTTTAGTCGATTTGAATTGGAATAATTCGGAATATAACAATCTTTATCATCGGAGTAATCTTTAATATTTTTCTTACCCAATTTCTATGGTTGGCTAGATATCTATATGGTTTATATTTATTTTATTATTTTTAATTTATTCTATTTTTTTAATAAAAAATAGAGAGAGAGAGAGGGAGTGGAGAGAGTATGAAATCTTACTGAGCTGATTCCTCTCAAAAATGAGGCAGAAAAGACTTAACGAAGAAAATGATACATTGCAATGATAAATTGCCTATTCCCTTTACTTAAATCCTTTCTCAGATCCAAATATCTCACATCAATAAAATGTAAAAGTAAAGATAAACAAAATAGTTGTTCTTCCATTTTAAAGAGTCTATTTCATCTTCCTAAGTACCCCGAAATTATCACGTCTTGATTAGATTGTATTTTGGCATATTCAACCAAGTAAAAAAGGTAAAATGAACTTTGTCAAGAGTTTACTACATCAAAAAATTGCTTGTCTAGTTACAATAGAGGAATCAGTGTAATTAGGAATTCTATAAGTGATTTACTGTTGAATGCAGCAAAACGATCGATCGATTTAAATGGATTACTTTTAAATAAATTATCAATTGACCAGATTTAAACAGCGAGATAACCACCTAATCCTTATGAAAAAAACACAGGAACATGCTATAAATGAACAACGTATAACTCGAAACTATTTTTAACATATCCACTGCATATTCAATTCAGATTGTGCCATTGTCTTGTAACTTACCTGTCAATTTTGTGGCCTACAAGACAATGTCACGATGGGGTGGTAAATCTTGTCGAACTCCTTGATATATATCTATATAGGGACAACCTTCTCTTGTCGATATACTTTCCCGTAGCGTCAGGAGGGCAGTTAACGCCCTCCCCCTTTGACTGCTTCCCTTGACAGCAATTTTGAACGGTGCTCAGTCAAAAGAAGAATTTATACAGGTCCAACAATTACTTCGTGTCTTCCTACTTATTGCGTGGAAACACATTTTGACATTAAAATTCGTCAGTAATTTATCGAAATTTTATCCAATACTCTTGAAAAGTTTTAATTACAATATTAAGAATAACCCAGGAGCAAAATTCTGCCATGTTCTCAATTATGGCAACCAACGGGCAGATAGTAAATTTGCAATTGTAAATAGTCAAAATATCTGAAAACAGCAAGGAACACATAATTTAAACACTGTTAATGAAAAAGGATCGAGTGGAGGAATTTAGTCCAAAGTATCTCAGAACTTCTGTTACCAGGTTTTATTCTTGGGTAAAGTCGGCTGTCTTATGTTCCAAGTTCCCACCGTCCAAATTCAGTTTCTTGTTTGAGGTGTCCAGAATCTACCAACCAGTTATCAGTGAGGATGGTTAGTCAACTACATCAGATAGATTTTTTCTTTTCATTAGCAAAGACATAAACAGAATGGAAAGATGTTTTAATAGCACGGAGCACAATTTGTTTATATTTCGTAATTTGGTTGAGGTAGTGTCATTCAGGTATTATCAGTTAAATATAAGCCTTGTTGACAGGACATTAATTATCCAAATGTCCAAAAGTAAGACATTCTTTTTTAACTTTCTATTATTACTCTCATAGAATGTAACGCATCTGTAGCGGAGTGCTACGCTAGAAAAGCCTGACTAACTCAGAAATCTCTGTGGCAGACTAGTCTCTATGGCAGATTCTCCAACATCTAGCTAGACTCCCGAGAAATCTCTGGCAGATTCTCCTACATCTAGCTAGACTCCCGAACTAGCTAAGCTATAGCCCAGCTATAAAGAAAACAGACGTATAATTCAGCTAAGCTATAGCCCAGCTATAAAGGAAACAGACGTGTTGCTATAGCCCAGCTATAAAGGAAACAGACGTGTAGCACGGGGCGCCCAGCTATAAAGGAAACAGACGTGTAGCACGGAGTACGCAAAGGAAACAGACGTGTAGCACGGAGCACGCTAAAGTAAACAGACGTGTAGCACGGAGCACGTTTATTCAGGACGTACATTGCGGATCAAGGATGGGGGATTAGGATAAACAAACGGAACCCACTGATTGGCCACTGTTTGTACGATCGCTATACACAGAGTTGTACGGCGCACCTGCCAATCCTGGCGTGCAGGCATGCGAGACGCACAAAGCGATAACGTGTCCCACACATCAAATATAATGTGGCATAATCAATAAACCATGTAATAAAAATATGTAATTAATGATTTTAATCACTGTCTTAACGTCCCTTTTAATCTTCAGTGTAGATAAACTCTCTCCCCTTCTCATCCCATTTTATCAATAAATTGTGTTGATTTTGACATTTATACGCATTTTTATTATTTTTATTTTTTATTTTTTTATTTTGTTAAAATTAAATCACCTCTCCACCCCCACCCTCATAAATATATGAAATCTTACTTTGGATAACGCCAATAGACAAGTTCAAACATTTTGTCATCTCATATTCAAAATAACGGTTTCGTACTAATTTAAACGAATCTTACTAGGCTATAAACAAAATAAAAAGTCCATTCTAAAATGTATCATCTGAATTCATGACTGTTATGGACGCTTGTTGTAAGTATTGTCAACCTAACTAGAACAATGAAAACTGTTTTCAAGTGTGTTGGCAAAGAAATAAAATTTTTTTTCAGTAACCTTTTAATTCAATCTTTTTTGGTCCATTCGCAGGTTAGTTTTCTCATTTTAATTCTGACGCTCACGACGCTCTAAAAATTTCATAGAATAAAACTTCGGCATGTAGCTCTTCCAGTAAAGCAGAAAATTACCAATTTTGTTTTACTAATTTTACTGACAATATATAAGTAGTTATCGTATCCAGGATTTTTACGGAGTTAGCTCGATAATTCTTGCAAAATGGGTTGTGGTTCATATTTCAAATATTTATTTATTTACACCAAATGGCAGGCATTTTGATAGATATCATTAGCCCTTTAGTGGACTTCAGGCTTCACAAGGGGAGGAGGAACATCAAAGTGAAAAAAGTCGAGAGTGGGGGGAAATAGAAGAGTGTTTCAAAGATGTAAAGGAGACAGACAGAAATGTAGAAAAAAGGTGAGGTGAGTACTGTGAAAGTAATCGAAAATGGCATTCATTGGGGTGATGGTAGTTTGAGGTCAGAAGTCAACTGCCAGTTAATAGACTTTTTTGCCGTATGAGTATACGTTGCCCATGGTGCACCACGTGGAGGTAAGTCTATTGCACACCCCATATTTTAAATATATGTATCGTATAAGTGAAAAAGCGAATTCGAGCAAGGATGACAAAAATATGAACAGCAATTAAAGCGTCGGTTGTTAAGAATAGTTAATCGTCTCGCCAGCGAACGGTGCTCCTTTTCTATAAATATTTCAACACATTTGACAGCTTCGTGCTTCATGGGGACCGATGAGCAGTCTATTTAGATTTCACGAATTTCCAAGAGCGGAATTTGTAAATTGGTCTTCTTATTATGTTATCGAGTGCCGTTTTGCCATTGCAAAATATCGGAAAAAGAAGATTTGCTTCTGTAAGATCTCGAAGAGTCTTGTGTTTGCAAATGACGACAATTGCAGATCATTTCAAATAGTCCTGATTCGTATAAATTTCTCCCTATATCGATGGATAAATACGTAATTTATAGTAATTATAAGTAAAGCGTATTTATATCAAGAGAACACTTGTGTTTCTTTTCGTTTAAGTAAAAATTAACATTTCATTAAATCACCACAAAATCTTTCTCGTTATCGGTGTGCAATTTCTTGGTAAGTAAAAGTACTAATTGTTTACAGCAGAAGAGATAAAGCTATCTTCTAAACAAAACTACTTACAAAACTACTGATGAACCAGATTTGAAGACAAATTTTCAAAGTTAAGTGCAAATATTTGATGCTTTTCCAATCCGGTCGGATTCAAAATGAGACCTGTCTCCTGAGCCAATTAGAATATTAGTCCTCCTTGCTTAGTACATAACAATAGCTCACATTGAAAGCAGCATTAAGCTCCAAGCAGGTCAAAATACGTGTCAGGAAGCCATAATAAAAGAATGCGTTTATTTATTATATTACTGAAAACTAAACATCTGTTGATTTTCCACCAATTGAATTTGAAGCATTACCATCAATCATTTCCCACAAATATAATTTTTGAAGTGTGATTTCGAGTGAAATTACTTCCAATTTCAAATGCTTGCAATCAGCACAATTCACTTCTTTATCTCCAAAGTGCTCCCACTTAATGATTATTGATTTACACTCATCCCAGCTACCTCTTATCTGTGCGGTTTTATACTCTTTGTGCAGACGCCCTGACCTCGCGCTTTCTCTGCCAAATTACTACCACCTCTGTGAAATAATATTCTGCATATTCTTATCTCTTATCAATCTGCTTTTGAAAGTGATTTTCTATTGTAATCTCCACGGAACCCAGTGACAACTAAAGCTTTAGCTAGTAATATTTAAGCTATACGTGGCCAATAATTTATGTTTTTAAATATTCTCTGGAATTGAAGGCCTTGAATAAATTGGCGTTTTTCGGCATATTTGCAGAGACAGTTGTGTTATAATGCAGCTGATAATTGCAGTGTGATGAGAGGTATTTGTATGAGCGGCAGTTGTTGCTTCTCATCGCCTATGCAGGAGCATATACTCCCGCACTTTTATTCAAGCGTTTTCGTAGAGGGTAGGCAATATTTCTCTACTCATATATCAGAATTGATATCGCGTGTGTCTCTGTTACTTGCCACCAGTCTGCATAATGAATAAGACTGTTAATAACAGAGACATCTATGAAGAAAACAGCTACAAAGTCATAGTTCGATCTTCAGATATGTCCGACTTCCAACAGACGGAAGCAGCCAGGATTATAACTGAAGCCCTGACCATTCATCAGAAGGAGACCCTGGTGGCAAAGACGGTTAAGGCTTACTTCGATGAGAAACACGGACGTGCTTGGCAGTGTGTTGTTGGAAAGCACTTTGCAAGGTAAGGCTAACAAATTCATGTCTAGTTATGGTTATGACCAATTGAATTTGCAAGTTGTGTTCTGTTATTTGATTAACTTGATTTTTATGGTTGAAATATTAGTTAATTTAAAAAAGGTGAATATATTGTTAAAAAATTTTGGAACACGTACAAAAAATTCAATATAATGCCTGTTTATACTCCTATATCGTAAATTAATATTTAGTTTAAAATTATTTATCAGGAGAGACTGTTTAGGTTCTTTAGTTCGTTACAACCCAATGTGTGAAATAAATATTCGAATAGGTTAGTATCTTTTTAAAGCTGGTAAGTATGACATGCGTAGAAAAAATATTAGTATAATGTGGTTACGAAAAATATGAGATTTTATTAAAGTTATAAAAAACTATTAGTTATTCAACAAGTATGGCACAATTGTTTTTTTTAAAGTCCACTTTGCCTCTCAGTTTTTATTCAATTCTAAATTGTGAAATTCTATTTTCTTAACATGACTTTATTTATTGATTACTCTTGCATTAACGAAAAGTCGTTGATAAATCATCTTTATACCTCACACAAACATGACTTGGCATTTCTCTTGAATTATTCTGTTCGCCAAAAATGAAACTACCCACCATGATTTTATAGTTCGCTTAAATATTTCTACATTATCACTGTTTCATGCACTAAATCCAGTTATTTCAAATTGGTAGGTGAACTTGAAAACCATTGAGAAGGTATTTCTCTAAAAGATAAACTAAAGGCTAGTAATTCAGTCAATTATCCTGTTGTAGATTACAGTGACATTTTGTCTGCTAAAAGCATTGAGAAGAAAAAACAAACAATAATTTGACCTAAGTCCATACGTTCAATTCAACCAAAATTTCTTGATGATCAAAAAATTTAAAATGGGAGTAGAAAGGGTTAAATTGTGTAAAACAACTTTTTTCAGATCTTTTTATTTATACGAATCTTCATCTCTTTTAGCTACGTCACCCATGAAGTGAACACTTACATTCTGGTTCACATTGGACAAGTCAGTGTAATGCTCTTTAAAACAAACTGCTGAATCATATTTATCTCCTCTTTGAACAAGTTTTCGACCCCCACCTCCTCCCTTCTACCCATCTGTCCTGGAAAATCACATTCGAATAAAATTTGTAAAGATTTATTGATTTTTTAGAACACATGACGAAAATATCCCATTGATGTACTTAAAATGAACTGTTACTCATAAGAATGTAATAAAAACCGGTAACATTTCAGACTTCTTTGAGTTGGTGTGATTTGCTCATCAAAGATTACACAGGTGCTTGCCAAGTGTATGAACTGCACTTCAAATTTCTTTATGTTAAGTAGCAAACAATACTCCTTAAGTGCTTGCCCCGCTATTCAGGTGACATAAAGTTCTGTTTCAACTTTGGACCCAATGGAAATTAAGAATCAAAAACCTGCCCTTTCCAACACTGACAAGTAATTTGAGTTCTTCCGACCACTTTCAAATAACTTGAAACTAAACCTGATGAACTAAACTCCTGAAAATGTAATGATTAGATTATTGTCAAAAACAATCAGCCCGTTTAATATTTATTTGTATGACACAATAATTATAGACGTTTTACATGGATCACTTCAAAGCAAATGTTTTGACCGCGTTAG